GCAAGGAATTCTTGGAGAGTCTCAAGGACGACCTACCCAAGTGCTTCAAGAGGCCGAAAGACACACTCAGGACCGATCTCTACTTGGACAACTATGTTGAGATCAACGACGACGATTCGCATTCGACCATCCGACTCCGGGAGGTGATGCTCACCGGAAAGGCCGCTGCTAAGGAGATCAGGTACGACAAGCTCTCCGCCAAGGACAAGAAGCTCATGGACATGGCCATGAAGGTTGAGTGGTCCAAGTGGACCGAGTTCGGGGCCTACAAGAAGCTACCGCCCAAGGAGTTGAAGGAGATCTTCCAGCGACACCCTGGAATACGACCAGTTGGTACCCGCTGGGTGCTCACGCAGAAGGCCGCCAACCTCATGAAGGCCCGCCTTGTCGTCCAGGGCTGTCAAGAGGACAAGTCCCAAATCCGTACGGACGCGCCGACCGGGTCAAGGGACGCGCTCTACCTCACGCTTGCTGCCGCCGCCCAGCTTGGCTGGGACCTCACGTCGTACGACGCGATGACGGCTTACCTGCAGTCGGGCAACATCGAGAGGCTGCTATTGCTGCGCATACCAGCCAAGAACCCGCCGCCAGGCACATTGCCCGGCGAGATCGTGATGGCGACTGGCGCCATCTATGGTACCCGGGATGCCGGGCGCCAGCGGTACCTCTACGCCCAAAAGGTGTTCCAGGAGCACGGCCTCATCGAGAGCAAGCTCGAGAAGGGCCTTTACTACTTCTACGACGACAAGGGGCTCGCTGCTATGATCCACTCCCATGTGGATGATTTCCTCATCGCCCAGCGCGGAAGCTCCAGCGAGTGGAAGCGAGTCATTAGCTCCTTACAGAACAGGCTGCACCTCAAGAAGGTAGAGGGCATCATCAAGTACTGCGGCCGGACAATCAACAAGACCAACGAAGAGTTCCGCATTACCCAGGCGACGGCCGCCGCCCAGGTGGATTTCATCGAACTCAACGTCCAACGCGGACGATCACCAGAGGATCGTCTTACCACCTCGGAGGTCTCAGGATATCGCCACACACTCGGCCAACTGCTTTGGCTCGCAGTACAGACGCGAGTGGACATCGCCTGCCCGGTGAGCCTTGCGGCTCGCCGCACCAACACCGCCACCGTGGCCGACGCCAAGACGCTGAACAATACCGTCGCTTACGTGCACGGGTCCGCCGATTTCGCCATAGCCATCAAGCGCAACATCATCGACCTGCGCACTTGCACCATCGTCTGTTTCAGCGACGCGGCCTTCGCCAATGTGGACGGGGTGAAGAGCCAGTGGGGCATGGCGATCGGGCTAACCCACAAGCCACGGGACGTCGTGGCTGGACGATATGACTTGTGCCTGCCTGTGGCCTGGCATTCGGGCACGGTCAAGCGATCCATGAAGTCGACGCTGGCCGCCGAGGGCTACGCCACTCTGGAGGGCGCCGCGTCGAGCACGTGGTTCGGCCAGCTACTTACGGAGGCCTACAACCCGAAGAAGACGCTCAAGCAGATCGACGACCTCAGCACCAAACGATCCGGGGAGATCTATAGCGACAGCAACGGTCTGGTGACGCACATCAAGTCTGACGTGGGTCAATCCACGGACAAGCGGTTCCGCATCGTGGCATCAATGATCAAGGAGACAGTGCACCCCAACAGCCAGCTGAAGCTCTCGTGGATACCTACGTGGAGTATGGTCGCCGACGCGCTCACCAAGATCATGGAGACCGGAGTGCTCCTCGCCTTCTTCGGGGCCAAGAAGTACAACTTTGGCACTAGGCAACCGCACGCCGCCATGCTTGCCTCAGTGCTGATGACATGTCTCGGACGCGTGAAGGCACAGCACCCCCCACAGGAATGGCAAGTGCCGATGTCACATTGGATCTACTACATGACATTAATTGCGATGCTCAGTGGGATCATGATTGGATTTACATTGTTCGCAGCGCTGCGGTTTGTGGTGCGAAAGGAGATATTTGGGCCAGGCGACCCCAACCCCATCCAGATCGGGACCATCAACAACACCAGCAATGGGTCCAAGGCCGACCACACCGGGCACGCGGACACTCCCTTGCCCGGAGTATATCCAGGATGGGATGGACGATACCTTGGACGTCGTAACAACGTACAGCCTACCATCCCCGAAGACGTCGACGGAGATGTCTACATGGAGCCGCCGATGATTGCCGTCGCAGCCCAGAGTTCATCATCAGCAAGCGGATCGGCAGCGCCAGCCGCACCGCCCCCATCACCGGACAGCTTCGCGCAGCGAGCGAGCTCGGCGCCATCATCCCCGATGACGGTTCACAGTTCCTCGTCAGCCAGTGTGGTTTCGTGGAACGGATCGACGCCAACGGTTTCGCCATCAGAGATGAACGCATGCGTGGCCGCCGAGCACAACATACGTGTGGGACGCAACACACATAGTGTCTACATCACCTGCAGGACGTGCAGGAAGTATGCGTCATGGCTTCGCAGGAATCATATGACCCATGAGCCAGATTTTTCGAGGATGCGCAATAGTCTGCGCTGGGATCTACAGAATAGATGGAGGCAGCTACAAGGACTGCCCGGCAAGGCGAAAGCTCAAAATAAGATTTCGTGACGCACGCCGCCGCTCTATATTTGGCGCCACATCCTGTGGCCGATTACGTTAGTCCGCATCGCTCTGTCAGCTCGTTTTCTTTACACCTGGAGCCACATCCTGTGGCAGACTACGTTAGTCCGAATTGTCTTACCAGCTCGTTTTCTTTACATTTGGCGCCACATCCTGTGGCAGATTACGCTAGCCCGCATTGTTCGAAACTTTATTCAGTGTGCACAGGTTTTCTTTTATGTGGTGACGACCACACTATTGAGGCTTTATCTTGATAAGATAGCGCTATTTGAGTTTTGTCGCATAGCGATCGGACTCGCGCCGCTGTTCGCTTTGAGAATCCATGTATTTCTTGCCGGTGCGTGTAGCAGCACCCGTTGAATGCCCTGGGGCAGCCGGATAGCATGCCGACAAGGCCGTTTGCCTGTGTTTGTTTTGGAGCGCTCTGATTAATGAAGTGAGCTGCGATCGATGATCGTCGCTCGACGGCGCCGCGAGCGTCAATCAGGAGGAGTGTGATTCCCGCTCACTCCCCGTGCCCTTCCTTCCCCGCTCTATCTCTCACGCCCGCCTTGTCGCTGCCGTTTCGTTTCGAACTAGGGCCCTTGGCCTTAGAGCTACGCAGAGAGTTTCGCCGCGCGATTCCTCGACAAACGATATCAGCGATATCCATATATCACAATCTCGAGCCCCTCTCGGAACCCTTTGGGGCCCTCTTTGTTGCGCTGCATGCTGCTACACTGCATGCTTATCCACTTTCCAGACCAAGGCATCTCGCCTAGGCATCTTCCGTGGATGGGCTTGTGGGGAGTCGCGAAGCGTCACGAGTAAAACTGCAAATGCAACCTCGCCCAGGGCTTCAAGAGGGCCGCAGGATGAGGAATACAAGTGGTTTCAAATGGGAGGCCCTCAAAAGTGCCCCAACATGAGGAATAACACTTGTTTCAAATGCAACCTCTCCTGGGGCTTCAAGAGGGCTCCAAGAGCAGCAGCACGTGGGGAATAACATTGGTTGCAAATGCCACCCCTTCTGAAATCCTCGAGGCCCTCAAGAGGCCCCCAAGAGGCCCCAAATACTCAAAGAATCTGGGCCCCGCGGCGATGCGTTCGGACCCCCGCCGCCACGGCTGGATTCGGCTTGAACCCACGGTCATTGAAACACCGCTCCAGGACATGCGCTCGATTGCCGCCACACCACACGCCCCAACGACTGAAGGCCCCAGCCACGGACCACAAGGACCACGACGAGCATCTAACCACGCAGAATACTTGAGAGACAACCTGAATGAATACCATAACGAATTCCTCTTTGAGAAATGGGAGGAAACCGAGTGAATACTTTTCCTGGATCCTGCTCGTGCCCGCTCGCGCAAAAACGCAAAAAGTATCCACCAAGAATCCGGCAGAAAATTCACTCAAAATCCGGCAGAGCTTGCACTCAGAATCCGGCAGAATTTTCATTCAGAACCCGGAAGGAAATTCACTATGAATACGGCATAAGTTTCACTCAGAATCCCCCTTGGTCCCCCTCGGTCCCCCTCGGTCCCGCCCTCGGCCCTCGTCGTCCTCCTCGGTCCTCTCCCGTCGATCCCCCTCTTCGGCCCCCCCTCGGTCCCCCCTGGTCCCCCTCGATCCTCTCCCTCGGCCTCCCTCGATCCTCCCCCTCGATCCCCTTCGCCCCCCTCGATACCCCTTCCTCTCCTTCGATCCTCCGCCTCGGTCCCCCTCGGTCCCCTACGATCCGCCCCCATCCATCCTCCCCCTCAGTCGCCCTCTGTCGACCCCCTCGGTCTCCCTCGATCCTCCCCCGTCGGTTCCCCCTCGATCCTCCCCCTTCGGGCCCCCTCATTCCCCTCGGGCCCCCCTCGGTCCTCCCCCTCAGCTCCCGTTGAACCGACCCCTCGCTCCCCTTCGGTCCCCCTCGGTCCCTATGTGTCCCCCATCGGTGCCCCTCAGTCCCCCTCGGCCCCCCTAGGTCTCTCTCGATCCTCCCCCATCGATTCTCCCCCATCGGTCCCCGTCGGTCCCCCCCGGTCCCCCTCGATCATCCCCTTCGGTTCCCCTCGATCCCCCCCCCTCGGTCCCTCTCGGTTCCCCTCAATCCCCCTTGGTTTCCATCGATCCCTCCCCCGTTGGCCTCCGTGGGCTCCCGCAGTCCCCTCACGACGGGGACGCCTCAGGGCGCTTCTGTTCTACGGCGGGGAGGCTTCAGGACAACGCTGGAGCGCGACGGGGAGGTCGAGGGGGAAGGTGGGAAGGAACAGGCAGAGGGGAAGAGGGGAGAGGGTGGAATGAGGGGGGGGGAAGGAGTATGACAAAACCTTTGGACACAGGTATCCGTTGCCCCACAACGGACATTCGAGCCACATCTATGCAGACGGGCGCAAGTTCAAGAGCCGCAAAAGCCTCTTCTTCGCCCGCGGGTCCGTAGCCGCCTCGACGAGCTGAAGAAACTTCGGAGTTTCAGTGTACTCCATGACATCTTGTTCGGTGAAAACATAGTCCCTGGCGCCCGACGCGAGCCGCCGGTCAAAAAAATGCTGCGCTTTGCAGCACCATGTCTCCGCGCATAAATGCGCGCCGGGTATTGTGTAAAATGATATATTAAATCGTGCGGTGGCGCCCCGAAGGTACCTCTCGGCGAAGTCGATGGCCATCTCCCCGTGCGCCTCGCCCTTGAAAGCGTCGAAAGGCACGCCGTAATGCTCCATGCACCATTTTCCGCCCAGTACCTTGAGGAGGAAATCCTGGGGCGCATCTGGCCCCAAATCCCACTCCTCCCGGACGGCGTGGAGATGCTCCATCATCTCCTCGATGTCCTCGTCGTTCATGCGCTGCTCCTCGGGTGTCTCGTCGTCCGACTCACCCTTGCGCAAGCCTGACCGTCGGCCCGCAGCTCTCCGACGCTCGCTTTCCTCCTCCTCGAACTTCCCCGCTAACCACGGCCAGTGCTTCAGGAACTCATCCTTCCAAGCGCGCGTGCTCGATGCCCCGCCGCTCCTGTTCTCGGCGACAGGGGCGCGCGGCAGCGACGCCAAGAGCGCGCTGAGCGGCCCCCCCACGTCGTCGCACGCGATATCGTAGCCGCCGGCATAATGCGCATTCCGGAGCACCCGAATGCTGGCTGCGTCGTCTGGCAGGGGGAGGTCGAACCAGGCAGCGAAATCCAAGGCGCCGAAGGTGAAATTATGAAGCCACTGAGAAACGCACGCATCTTCCCAGCTGCCGCCAAACATGCTGACGTGCGCGGGGAAGTACGCGTCCTTCTCGCCGAGTGGGGCGAACATGATGAACTGGGGACTCTGCGCTGCGAAGATAAACTTGTAATACTTGCACTCGCCGCCGGTCTGAAGCCCCCAAATGGTCGACGCAAACGACTCCCTGTTTCGAACGACCGCGGGGAACCAGGGCGGTCTGTCGTGCTTCCCCTCTTCCTCAGCTGCGTACCCCTCGAGCTCATCGAGAAACGTCTTGGTGAGCTTAGGCGGCGCCTCTCTGGCTGCCTTGCGCATGTCATCCAGACCGCGACCATCCCTGAAGGCGCCGCTGTTGAAGATCTCATCCCACTCCAAGAAATCACCCTGCGCCAGTTTGCAGGAAGAGAACCGGAGCGGCGGCTTCTCTGCAGCTTTTTTGAGTCGTTCCCTGTTGAACGCCTGCAGGTTGCGGGCCTCGTCAATTTATTGCTCTTGCTGGGAGAGAATCAACCTTGCCTTCCTATCGTAATCGCGCTTCCTCGCGGGATCCATGCTTTCCCAACCCCTGCCATGCAACCTGATGACGTCTTTGGACTTCAACCCGCGTTGGCCGTCTGCCTCCCGGACCTTGGACAACTCAACGAGTTCCTTCACATACTGCTCACGCCCCTGGTAACTTTGCGGCCGCCTTTTCTCGAGGCGCTTCAAACGATTGTGTAGCATGGCTTCGCGGCGTTCGTCCTCGTCGAGGCCTGGGGGGACCTTCTTACTCATGTGTATGAACGCCCTCGCCATCAGGCCCTCGCACGTTGTGTCAGGGCGAAATTTGCCCCGGAGCGCCCCCGAAGCGTGCAAATGCTCCGCCGCAATCGTGTCCCAGGGTATGTCGGCCAGCAGCGCGACACCCTGTCTGTTGACACGCCGCCCCCAAGGGAATTTGTCCAGATGCCACATCTGCTCCGTGATGGGTTCGGTCGGTATCGGGCCTCGTTTGAGAGCGTCCAAATTGGCATCAACGTCTCCACGAACCATGCACCAAGGGGCGCCTTCTGCTTTCCAGACAAAGCGAAACATCATGAAACCGATGGCGACGTGGGCCGCGCCAATGGACGAGTGCCGCACTTCAGGGCCAGCCATGTTGCAGACTCTCCCGAAGAGACCCCATATACCATCGCCATAGTTGCAAAGTTTATCCATCGCCTCACGAATAGTTGTCTTCAGAGCGCACAGGTGCATGGCCACCCGGGAATCTCTGAGCAACATCTGCATCACTGCGCCCGCTGGGAAACTGGCCGTAGCAGCCGTCACCATGAAGTGAAGTTCGTCCGAACCGAGCCGCTCCACGCCTCCCAAGTAAAAGTCCTGCGCGTTGGGGCGGTCCAGCACGTGCTTGGCGAGTCCGCGCAGCCCGCCAAATATTGCTCCGACGCCCATCTGGCAAGCCCGGGTTGCAGCATGCCACCTGGGGGGTCCCAGCCTAACCGTTTTCCCGACACTGAATTGCCAGGCGCCTGGAACGCCGTAGCCCTGCCCCCCCTCTGCGCGAACCGAAAAACATTCGCCGCCGTCGATAACCCTGGCGACCGCTCCGCCTGCCCACCCACCCCCGCCACCCGCCCGCCCAAATTGCGCTAGGCCCCCTGGGCCGCCCAAAACCTCCAACCCAGAAAATTAACGTGGCCCCCATCGTTTCTCCTTGGGGAAGTTGATTCGGACAAGGGCCGCAACCGCACCTGCTGCCATTGAACTTTTTCAAGCGCCAGACGCTGAACAAGCAGAAATTGATATTGGTGAAGGTGTCCTCGCCCGCATCGCCTGTGTCAAGGATCTCGAGTCGACCCCCAAAGTACCGCAAGCGCAAGCTGACCAGGGTGGCCACGACGCTCTCCTCCACGCCCATCGCCAACCAGAAATGTTTCAAATCGTCTGGGTCGTCGAGTTCCTCGGCGGAGCGAGCGACCGTAACGTCCCACATCCACTCGGGAGTCAACCCGCTCAACTGTTGCATGCTATCGCGAAGGCTTTCGATGGCCAAGTGCACGTTTTTCATCAGAGATTTGTTATGGTACCACGTCCACAAAGACCACTCGATTGACTTATGGGTGTCGTGCATGCTGCACCCTGTTTCGACAAACCACTGCATCAAATACAAAATGTCCGGCGGATGCTCGTAGATATCTGTTTGTTGGACGGCTTCCTTTTTCCACCATTGCTTCAATATGCGAGAAACTGATGCTAATAAGGCGCGGTCAAATGCGCAATGAAATATGATGAGGCCTCCATGGCCGTATTTCCTCGGGTTCATGATCATACGCAAAGCGAAAGCAGCCGATGCGGCAGCTCCTTGGCCGTCTGTCATGGGATTTGGCTCATCAAACATGACCGTGACATTCTTGCGACCTGAGGGGTCGACGAATTCGAGGAAACACAGCTGCACGTAGTATTCGAGAAACTGGCGCCCACATAGCCTGGCACGTTTGCAATTGTACCGGACGCTGGAACCATGCACCGTTCGGAGTTTTGTGCCATCGCCAGCATACGACAGCAGAAGCGGCCTCCCATCTGCTTCAGCAATGCTGCGCTCAAACCGCCTCCTCCAAAACTCCTTGCCTGATTCAGTCACGCGTTCCAGCGTGCGCAACTCTGCAGAATCATGGTGCAAGGACGGTTTGTGCCATTTCTCCAGAAGCCGAAGGACCTCTGGTTTGTCAGGTGCCTCCGACGGCGCGGCCATTACCCTTGAGCCTACATGGCTACAGATACAGACTGCCACGATGGCGATACTGCCAATGAAGATGAGGCTGGCAATGTGGACGTCGCGGATACTAACGACAGTAAGGGGGGCAACGCCCAAAAGCCTGACGCAACCTGAATGAGGGGGACTTCTGTGCTCGAGACTGCCCTGCGCAATGCAACGCGATGAGGGTTAACGCAATGATGTGCAACGCAATGCAAACAATAACGCAGCATAGCGATGTACAGTATAGCGCCGCTCACCATAACATGGCATTGCAACATTGTGCAGCGTCGAATGGCATAGCATAACAAAGAAATCAATGTCACATATCAAATCGCATCGAACCCTACGCCCTCACACGACCTCAAACACGGTTGATCTGGTTGGATGTCCTGGCACGCACCCCAGGGTAAGTCCAGACAGAAACACATCGAGTCGCGACGGCTCACTTTCGCCACAGAATCACAGCATGCAGGGCCTGGGGCCAATGGAAACACAGCAAACTTATTGGGGGGCCGCAGACTCGCATCTTTGATCGTAAGACCGCCTCGACGTGCATGTGTGTTCGTGCCCATTCTGGGCGCCTTGCGCCCTGGCCCCCACTCCCCCTCATTTTCTTGCACCTTCTACCTTCTCCCAACCCTCGTCCATCGAGGCCCCGTCCTCCCTCCCCCCCCGTCTGCCCCACCCCCCTTCCGATGCCCCACTCTCCCTCCCTCACTGCCCCTCCCCCCATCCATTCTTCCTCCCTTCCCCTCCTGCCTCTGTTTTCCCTCCGTTTTCTTCCTTCCTGGCCTCCAGCGCGGTCCTTCGAAACCGCTGGGCGCGGACCGAACGTGCTTCTCCCCAGGGGCCTGGAGAGGCCCTCACCAACTTTCAAAAATCGCCTTTTCGGAGGTGATTTTGAAAATTGGTGAGGGGCCGCTCCGGGCCCCTGGGGAGGGCGCTTGGAGGAGCTCGGAGGAGCTCGGGCTGATACTTGCTAGGACCATCTCGGAGCCATCTTGTGGCCCTCTTGGGGCCATCTTGGGGCCCTCTTGGGGCCTCTTGCGGCCCTCATGGGGCCCTTTGGCTTTGGGGGCCCTGCGGGAGCTCTCTGAGGGCCCTAAGAAGCGTCCAGGAGGGGCTCAGTGAGACCCTTGTCAAACTCCGTCTGACGGAGTTTGAGCTGATACTTGCTAGGACCATATTGGAGCCATCTTGGGGCCCTCTTGGAGCCATCTTGGGGCCCTCTTGGGGCCTCTTGCGGCCCTCTTGGGGCCCTTTGGGGGCCCTGCGGGAGCTCTCTGAGGGCCCTAAGAAGCGTCCAGGAGGGGTTCAGTGAGACCCTTGTCAAACTCCGTCAGACGGAGTTTGAACTGATACTTGCTAGGACCATCTTGGAGCCATCTTGGGGCCCTCTTGGAGCCATCTTGGGGCCCTCTTGGGGCCTCCTGGGGCCTTCTTGGACCCCCCTGGGGGCACTCCCAGGGCTCCAAGAGTGCCCCGAGAGGGGTCCAAGAGAGCCCCAGCAGGCTCCAAGAGGGCGCCAAGACGGCCCCAAGAAGGAGTCCCTGGGCTGTCCCCCAGAAGGGGTCCTGGGGGACAGCCCGAGACGCTCATTTTGGACCCCCCTGGGAGCCCTCCCAGGGGTCTAAGAGAGCCCGAAGAGGGCTCCAAGCGGGCCCCAGCAGGCTCCAAGAGGGCCCCCAGACAGCCCTCTTGGACCCCTCTTGGGGCTCTCTTGGGCCCCTGTTGGAGCCCCCTGGGGCCATCTTGAGACCCTCTCGGGGCTCTTTGGAACCCTCTTTGTTGCACTCAATGCTGCTACATTGCGTGCTGCTACACTTCCCTGGCCAAGGCATCTCGCCTACGCATTTTCCCTGGATGGGCTGGTGGGGATACGTGAAGTGTCAAAAACTTATTGCATGTGAAACGAGCGCGCCCCCGGAATCGCAAGCACGTGCGTGCTACAATCCGCAAATACACCCGCGTTGCCATCGTCTATAATCCCAGCATTGCCCCATCCCAAATCTAACGCAAACACACATTCGAAACCATAATGATGCAAAACCCAACGCTGTTCCAAAAATCAAGTCTTCAAACCATGCGGCGATCGTTTTCGAGGGTCCGAATCTTGAGTCAAACCTGAAACCCTGAAGCCCTGAGAGTTTGGATGTTTGGGTTTTTTGGGGAAATGAGAGTTTGATGGCCTCGACACAAATCAAAGAAAAACGTATGGTAGCTTACTCATGTACATCAATTGCATATTTTGCAGTGTTTCCTGATTTCGAATGGTAAGCTGTCACACGATGCGGCTCGCGAGATGTCAGGGGGGCTCAGGCGCGTCACACTCTGACGCGTTCAAGCTTTCGAAAGTTAGCCAAGCTCGCGCTAGGATTCCCTGAGGCGCACCCTTGGTCAATGTTCTGGCGCAATCCCGCCTGCAGTTTCTGCAAGCCCGTCTGATTTGATTTCCGAATGGATTTTCTCTCGCAACATAAAATGTCCATCGATGTTTTCACTCAGTTTTCACTCGGGGCGTCTGGCCGAGTGAGTACATGGGCACTGTGATGTACACAGGCGCTGTGGTGCACGCAAGCACTGTGGTGTACACAGGCGCTGTGATGCAGATCGCCACCTACATGGTGCTGCTACCCCTCCCCGATCATTTCTGACCACCTACCAGACCACGCCAACCCAACCCGAAGACCCGAATTTGACCCGAACTTCGGGTTGGGGGGGGACGGGTTCCATGTGTTTTGTTCAATGTTCCCCGACCCCCTCCCATTGGAAATGTAAAAAAATTGAAGCCTTCGGGTTGGGTTGGGGTCGTTTGGCGGGTGGTGAATTCCTAGGCATTCCTGAGAAGCGGCGCAGTTACGACATCCCGACGTCAAACCCGATCACGGGCGCCCACGAGGCAGACAGGCTCCGAGCAGGAAAAGGAGGAGAAGGAAGCAGAGGAGGAGGATGAAGAGGAGGGAGGGAGAGAGAGAGGATGGCCAGAAGGAGATAAGAGCATGAGGTGGGAGAAGGAGAAGGACGACGACGAATGACGGCGAGAAACAGCAGGACCAGCTCTTCCTCCTCCCTCCTCCCGCCCGCGGCCTCGGCGCCTGGTCGACGATCCTGTTCGCTCTCTCGACGTCCAAGAAGCAAGCGGGGGGGTCGGCCAAGGGCAGGGGCGAAGCACCCGTCGACGGACGACATGCGACGCCGAGGACGACGAGGGCGTCGATGACGACGAGCGCGACGAGTGAATAGGGGGCGACGCGACGGCGACGATGGAGACGAGGACGGAGAAGGATGAGCACGAACAAAAATGAGGACGACGACGGGGCGATATAACGCGATACCTCAGACGGAGACGATGAGGCGGACGACGACGACGACGACAAAGATGACAAATCAGGGACACGGACGGTGGAAGCGAGAGAGGCGATGACGGAAGCAAGAACGACGAAAGGAACTAAGATGAGGAGGGCGACGGCGATGAGGACCAACACGACTTCACTGAAGTCCCCTCGCGGCAGTGACGGCGCACTCGCCTAGCAGGGCTTTCCAGAGAAGCATCCTCCCTCTCCTCCCCCGTGCCCTCTCATCCTCCTCGGTGTGCTCCTGGACTCAAACCCTGATCCTACTTACCTCGTATGGTCTCTCCTACTCCCCCCGTCCTACTCATCGATTCCCTCACCACGTTCATCCTTCATCCTGCTCACCCCTCCATCATCACATGCGCATCGCGCCCGCCGTAGCGGGATGTATAACATGCGAGCTTCTCAGCTCGCGAGCTGGGGCGAAGCCCCACTTCGGCCACAGCTCAACAGCGAAACCGCTGCTCAAGAACGCCTCACCGCTGCGAAGAATGCCCTCGTGTCCGCGGTGCACGCCGACCAAGGCTCTTTGCCCACAACACCGTCCATGAACCCAACGAGGCTCTCTGCCAAGTCGACGGCCGCGTGGACGTCGATCTTCACCAGCAACCTGTGGCACATCACGGGGCACCAAGCCGTGAAGCTGAGGGGGGAACTCGTCGTCAGCACCCAAGTGACGTAGCCATACGGAACCCAAACCATGGATCCTTCTTCCACGAAGGCGACCCTGGCAACCGAGCTCATCCATCTCTTCGCGTCGGCGGGCGCGAGGCCCGACAACGTTTGCATGACGTCCTTGGTGGATGAGCCCTTGGAGAGGATCTCCGACATCGGAATCGATATCGTCGAAATCGAGCCCGTCAAAGACACGAGAAAGCCCGCGACGCCAGCGAACGGGAATACCTCCAAACCCGCGCGGAAGGCAAACTTCGTGCCGGCAAGGACCCACGGCACCGAGCAAGTCGAGGGAGACGAAATCGAAAGCGGGGTATCGACGCCGAACGGCTTCGGCAGCCAGAAAGAGCCCTTGCCTTCAATGTTCGGGATGCTGCGTGCCATCATGATCTTCTGCTTCGCCTTCGGGGCAAGGATGGCAGCCTTCACCGCGTTCACGACTGCATCCAAGCGGAAGTTCTTCTCGCTCAGCGCGTCCGTCAGGCACTTAAGCTCGGGCCTCTTCGAACCATGCTTCCAGAGGAGGAAGTCAGCGTAGTCGGGGATGCCGTCGTCCATGTCATCAAGAACCGTCACCCTCAAGCACTTCGGGTCGATCCCGTCGGAGTCCCTGTTGATGCCGAGGACGGACTCCCCAATCCAGCTGACGATGGGGGTCGGGACCCCCTGGTGCGGCAATGGGTTCTCCTTCAAGACGCTTCGAATGCGAACCGCCAACATCCTGGCTTCATTCGTGGCCGCCTTCACGTCAACACTGCGACTCTTCTTCAGCTCCACGACGGTATCCGCGATGTCGGCGTTGCTCACCTTGGCCTTGTCGACCGTCAGCTTAAACTCATCGAACATCTGCCTGTACTTGTCGGCGCCCCAGTGAGAGGAGTCCTCCATCATCTTGTTGATCTGCGACAGCAGCCCGTCGTGCGTCTCCAGCTTCTTCAGCGTGTCCTTCTCCGCGCACTCCTCCGCCGCGTGCCCGCCGAACGTTTTGACAATGCCCTCCAACTGCTTGTAGGGGCTTGTCTTGTTCTGCTTGGTCTTG